GCTCCAGGGCAGCAGGTCGTCGAGGAGGCAACGGGCGCCACAATCTTCCTGGGACGCCATGCCGACTTTCCCAGTGTGCTGGGGTGCCGGGAGCCGCAGCTGGCGCAGGAGCAGCTGCTGCAGGATGTGATGCTGGATGACGGGGGGGTGCCCCGCGCGTATCCGTTCACGGGGCTCTGGGGCCCGCAGGCAACCGGCCGAGAGGTCTGCGCGACGTTGCCGGATGATGAGGATATTCTGCGGTAGGCATAGCCCCAATGCAGTGAGATTTTAATTTTATGATGCAATGGGGCTGACCAACTCAGATACTGGCAGGCGTACCAGACCACTGCATACCCGTTTTACCCGGTTCTGGCGTCGATCGACGAATTCGGAGCGGCGTTGATGGACTTTCTGCAACGACGCACGCCGGTGGCTGCCGCGGACAGATCCAAGCCGGACGAGGAGCCGGACTCATCGTGGCTGGCGCTGCTATTCGCTATGCTGGCCTGCGGGGTGCAGTTCGCTGACGACCCAATTCAAGAACGGGATCTGCGTTCTAGAGTCTTCTGTCCGTCTGAATCCCACTCAGTAGGCTTCCTCTAACTAACAGAACTGCAGTGTGTTCATCCTTCCATTGCCTGCGCCTGTCCAATTTCTTCAGCCAAACCAACCTCGAGCAGATCCAGGCGATGGCGCTGATCGGGCACTGTCTACGGAATAACCTCGACACCAACAGCGCCTGGATCTTGATGGGTAGGTCGTCCAGGCCCACAGTATCATTTCCCACGAAACCAGAGTTAACTCAAGCAGGCGCAACCATGCGCCTCGCGCAAAGCATTGGCCTCCACGACGTACCGGCATCTGTCCCCGCTGACAAAAAACCACGCTGGAGTAGACTCTGGTAAGCCCCCCGCCGCCGACGTGTATCTTACCGCACGGCACTGAACCCCCCAACCTCACCCCACTGACCACAGAAAAGGTGGACCCTAATCCAACAAGACTGTTTCCTCTCCTTCACCTACGACCGACCGCCCAGCGCCCTCCCACTCACTCCCAGCAGCAGCACCACCGCACCCCCATGCCTCGCCCAACAAGACCCCAAGGGCGGCCTAACCTTCCAAGCCAGCAGCCTGCGCATCTGCCACCTCGTCCTAACCCAACAACCCCTCACAACCCCGGCACAAGCCTTCACCGCGAAGGAGCAATTCCTCAACCTCCAAGAATCCACCGCCCCCTTCCTCACCGACAAACGCCACTGCACCACCCTCCAGCAACACCTCGAGCGCCTCGCCTTCCAGATCCACCTCGGCTACGTCATCTGCCGCATGTACCGGCTGCATCTGGATCTGTCCGCAGCCCGTGATCCAACGATTGTAAAAGAGTGTATGCAGACGGCGGCGCGGGTCGTCACCGCGTTTCTGGATCTGTATCGCCTGTCGAAGGCGGTGTGTCGGTCGTGGGCGTTTGTGCATAATGCGGTGAGTTGTGCGGTCACGCTACGGGCTTTGGGGGTGCATCATGGGCAAGCGGATGGGGTTGGGGAGACGGGGGCAGCGGACGAGTTGGTGCAAAGGCTTGTGGGAATGTTGCAGCTGGAGGCAACGGGGTCGGAGTGGTGCGATGAGGATACGAATCGGAGGCATTTCGGGCCGTATTCGCGGGCGTTGAGGGCTTTGTTGGAAGTCGAGGGGGGGCGGGAGGGAGATGGGGCAGAGAGAATGGGGTTTTGAGTGGGTTGTTTCAGTTCGACACAACCCTTGGGATTGAGCTGTCATCGTCGAGTTATATTGCGCAGTAGAATGAGTGGCTAGCTTGGACTTGTGGTAGCTTAGTGCTGGGCGCAAAGGACATGGAAAATTGGCCGGACAAGACGATGCCCGAATTTGAATATCTTTCTTCATCCGCTTAATGCATTTCGTGAAGTTCGCCTGCGGTAGCTTCCTCGCTGTCACTTCTTCCACCAAGGTAGCAGCACGTCCAAGCGTCATGCTATGCTGTCACTGGATCCCAACAAACGGATATGCGGAAAGTTGGAGAATCGGGCAAGACCAAGACAGGTCAAGCACTTGCATTTCGTAGAATTGTCATACTAGCAGTTCTCGCCCGTACCACGTAGGTTCAGATCACGTCTTACCCGCCCATCGATCTGGCTTCGGCAAACCGGCTTGGTCACTGCAGAGCGAGAACCTTGAGGCATCTCCGAGCAGCTCCGAGCGTCTCCGATGTGCATCCGTTCTCAGTCCGACCAAATATGAGCGGGTCGAAACCAAGCTTGAGATCGGATATGTGCGGAAAAGACTGGTCATTGCGATCTGATTTGCTTTGACAACGTGGAATAATTCACCAGGATATGGGACGAATAATGAAATACCCCTTAGGCAATGCTGTGCAGTAATATAAGTACCCGTGCGGCGACAAAAGTACATGTCAATGATATTGAGACAGATCAAAGTCGCACTGATTGAAATATGCCCGAACCCCCGATGCAACGCCCGATTGCCATCCTAGGCGCCGGCGTCCTAGGAAGCCGCATCGCGTCCGCCCTCCTCGCCGGCGGCCACCGCGTGCACATCCGCGACCCCTCCGCCGATGCCCTCACCACTGCAGCCACCTACATCGACGCCCACCGCGCGGAGTTCGAAGCCCTCCTTCCAGCTTCAGTCGCGACGGGCCCCGGAGTCTACCAGGTGTTCACCTCCCTCGCCGACGCCGTCCGCAACGCCTGGCTCGTCATCGAAGCGATTCCCGAGATCCTCGACCTCAAGATCGCCACCTTCGCCGAGCTCGACGCCCACACCCCGGACGACTGCATCCTCGCCTCGAACAGTAGCAGCTTCAAGTCACGACTGATGAGCCCGGGTGTCCAACCCGCGCGCCGCGCCCGCGTGCTGAACATGCACTTTACCATGCCCCCGGGCATCCGCTCAGTGGAGCTCATGGGCTGCGGGGAGACTGACCCGGCACACTTCGAGCGGTTGAGCGAGGTGCTGCGCGGATGCGGGCTGATCCCGGTGACGGCGCGGCGGGAGTCGACTGGGTGCGTTCTCCCCAAACCGTGCATACCTGCTCACAACAAAAAAGGAGTGGAAGGGTCTGCTGAACTGACATGAGGTTGGGACAGATTCATCTTCAACCGCCTCTGGGCCGCCGTCAAGCGAGAGATCCTACTCATCCTGGCGGAAGACGTCAGCACAGCGGCAGAGATCGACACCCTCTGGACAGAGATGTTCCAGCAACCGCACAGCCTGCCACCGTGTCGGCTGATGGACCAGATCGGCCTGGACACGGTCGCCTTCATCGAGGACAACTACATCGCCGAGCGGGGACTGGACGGATCGATGACCGTCGACTGGTTGCGGGAGCGTTACCTGTCGACGGGGAAGTTAGGGCTCAAGAGTACCGGCGGCGGGCTGTATGGGCCCCCCGCTACCACGTCATCGGACCCGTCCTCCTCGACCCCAGCGCAAACCCTCTACATCCTCGACGTAGGCCTCGGCGCCAACATTCCCGGAACCACCCCCCTCGCGCAAGCCGGACGCATCCTCTCCTTCCACCGCACCACCGGAAAAATGCACCCGCTCGTAACAGGCCAATCCCTCCCGGACGGCATCGCCTACTCCCCGTCCGCCGGACGCATCTTCTGGACGAACATGGGCGCCGCGACCTCCACGCGCGACGGATCCGTGCACTCCGCCAACGTCGACGGAAGCGACATCCGCACCCTCATCCCGACGGGAAAAGTCCACACGCCCAAACAACTCACGCTCGACGAAATCGCCCGCAAACTCTACTTCTGCGATCGCGAGGGGATGGGCGTGCATCGGTGCCACTTTGACGGGTCTGACCATGAAATCCTCGTGCGGACTGGCTCCGCCGCTGAAAGGGGGGATATGACGCGGTGGTGTGTGGGAGTGGCGCTAGATGTGGGAGCGGGGTATGTGTACTGGACACAGAAGGGGCCCAGCAAGGGGAATCAGGGCCGGATTTGCAGGGCTGGGATTGAGATGCCTGTGGGCCAGACGGCGGATACGCGGGACGATGTCGAGGTGCTGTTGGAGGGGTTGCCGGAACCGATTGATTTGGAGGTTGATGCACCAGCTCAAAGGTTGTATTGGACAGACCGTGGGGAGCATCCGGTGGGTTGTTCGTTGAATGTGTTGGATCTGGGGGATCGAGGGGCGGGGAAGAAGGTATTGGCACGGCATTTTCATGAGCCGATTGGGTTGTGTTTGGGGGAGGAGGGCGAGGTGATTGTGGCGGATTTGGGCGGGAGTGTGTATTCGGTGAAGGGGGGACGGAAGACGGTGCTGTGGCGGGATGAGGGGTGTTATACTGGGATTGCGAGGGGTTGAGTGGATGGAGCGGTAGGGTGTTATTCTATATACAGGGTACAAATAGACAGTTTTGTTCTGACAACTCTTGGCATTTCAAATCCTCCTCTAGCTTAATTCACGAGGGGCTTACGCTGTGGATGGAAAGAATGGACGAACATGTTATTTTCTAGGGTGTGGTGATATAGGCTTGGGAACTGTGACTACAGTAAGATAAGATGGGTCTGCAATAGAACGACAATAATTGGGATTAGACTCCGGTTTTCCTGGCTGTAGATATGCAATGGATTTCCTGAGCTACGATAGTCAAGAGCTCCAGCCTTTCCTCTGACTTCCGTGCGAAGCCTGGTACGGGCCGGAAAGTCAATGGCCAGTAGGCAGTCCACGCGGGACGCGTCATAAAGTCTAACCTACTTTACGACCAACAAGGGCGACGTTCCTTTGAACTCACGGATTTGCTCCAGTTGTGAGATGTTTGTGCAAGCTTCAACCATGGGCAACCCAGCTCATCCTTGCGCTTCTTATCGCCGGTGCATACATTTAAAGTGCGTGGCGGTTCGTATATCCGAGACCGGATCTCTGGATCCAACCTTAACCCGGGGATCTGGGCCAGTCTACCCCACACTTTCCACTGATCTTCCTTTCATGCAACCCAACTTTATCAAGTGTGGACTCATCATGCCACCGCTTCACCTCGTATCCACCGCGATCCTTGCAAATGGGCTCGAAACCTTTGTAGTCGTGATCCCATGACCCAACCCACAGGTCTTCCAAAGCACCGTGGTGCCCATATATAGCCCTCCACCCCTCCCTCATACCTACCAAAAGCACAATCCTCATAAACCACAACATACGACCACAAGCCCAATCAATCCACATCTCAACCCAACCAAACCAAAACAATGACCCCCCCAAAAACCCCAGCCTACATCACGCGCACCCAAAACTGGGACCCCGCCCGCGAGCACCCCGCCCTGGCGTGGATGGAAAATTGCACGCACGCCTGGGACACGCGGCAGAGCTGGACCACGCCCCACACCGACTGGGTTACCACAGACTTCGTATTCGTCAAGCCCAACGGCGAGCGGTGCACGGGCGGGCTGCCGGCGTGGGAGGCGATGCGGCAGGAGTACGCGGCGTTTGCGGGATCGCACCACGAGCCCAGCTGGGTGTGCGTGGTGGACTGCGAGGACGATGAGGGCGGTGGGTGGGAGTTTGTCGGCGAGGGGAAGTTGTTCATCCAGTTGCCGGACGGAAAACGCCCTGCGGACCGAACGGTGCGGGATCTGGATGGGCGGGAGTGGGATCTGGCGGTGGAGAGTATGTTTCGGTTTCGGTTTGTGAGGACGCCAAGTGCGGTCAATGAGGGGATTCGGATTCAGAGGTTCCAGTTTTATAGCGACAGTGGGCCGGTGGTGGCGGAGATGTTGCGGAGGGAGATTGTGAGGCCGGAGGATTTGTTTGGGTAGGGTTTGGGTGGGGGGGGAGGGGGGGTGTCTAGAACGTGCAGTGGTGATTGCTTGGTTCTGTTGGGAGGAGTGTTGGAATGGCTGAGGCTAGGAACTATCTGTAGCTCCTGTTGTTATTGGGTAATGTTAAGCAATTTCTGACCTTCGTGTTACAGACCTCATGCGACTTGGTTTTTCTCCTAATACTTGATTTGCTGGGCAAGAGTGCGTAACCTAACATACTGGGTGGACTTCATTCTATGTAGTGTAGAAATAGAACGAACATCGGTTCGACCTTTATACATTCATACTACATGCGCTGATTTAGATAGAACAATGCTGTATCTTATAGCATATACTAACTACTAGAACCAGATCATCAGGGCAACGGCTGCAAATCATGTAGGCTTGGCGCCGGATAAAGATTGAGAGGGTGGAACCCCTTTTGTGGGGAAGATCAAAGGGCTAGCCTGGCTGCCTGGCACTTGGTAAGACACAGTGGAGTAAGCAGTCCAAACGATCCGCAGACGGTGGCCTGGGATATTTGCTGCCATTGAAAGTAAGACATCGGGCGCTGTGAGCCTCTTAACAGTGTCTAATAACTTAAGGCGCATACGTCATACACGGCTGGCGACGGCGGTCAAGAATCATCTCCCTCGGGAGCGTCCTTCTGAGCACTGTATCCAAACAAGCACCAGCCTGGGGATCTGCCTCAAAACACATCCATCCTCGGATGATACATTCAGCCTCAATCGAAGAACTCCAAACAATCTTGGAAGGCAGCCAACCTTGAAGCTCGGACCCACCTGCTATCAAACGGGAAGACACCATCACGTGATGGACAAGGCTGACCGGGCAATACAAGCCTCCCTCCCCTCTGTCACATCCCCTCCAGATCCCCAGAGCATCCCCAACCTCACCCCCAAAGCGCACGAATACAGCAGCCAAAAATGAATCTCCCCTCCCCCTCCCCAACAAAACACACCCTCAACACCCCCGAACTCCTCGAGCTCATCCTCACGCAACTCGACCCGCGCACGCTCCTGACCGCCGCCCAACTAACCTGCCGCACCTGGCGCACCCTCATCCAAACCTCCCTCCCGCTCCAAGAAGCCCTATTCTTCCGCCCGGCCAAAGTCACCCCCACCACCGCCAGCAAAAGCACCGTGAACCCCCTCCTAGCATGGGCCTTCCCGCCGTTCACCCCGCATTACACCCCGTCGGAGAACGGGTGGACCTTCCCCTTCCACACGCTCGACTTCATCGCGCGGCCCGAGAAGCAGCCTGCCTACATGCGGCCGGAGGCCAGCTGGCGCCGCATGCTGGTGCAGCAGCGGCCGGCTGTGCGGTCGGTGGGGCTGTTGACCTCGTGTAGCGGGATGGCCGGGGAGGAGGTTTGTTTGGTTAGTTGGGTATGTTCTAGTAGCACCCTACCTTTTCTTGCATTCTAGCATCCCTTAGCAGTCATTGGTCCAGTACGAGGTGGAAACTCATGACTCGCTACTCTTGTCGGAGCGGGGAGTGCTGCGATGGAACCTTTTTTTTGAGATACCTGGGACAGGGAAACTAACGTCCCGCAGAAAGAGCAACGTTCCGACGGGCAAGACGGCGACAGTGCCGGTGCCGGTGCCGGCGACGGCCTGCGGATGGAAACGCTGTTCGAGCTGCTGTTCTTCAATGAACTGTTGCCGTACAATTACTTCATCGGCATGGCCTGGGACGGCGTCGCGCCGCGGCGGGCGGACATTGATACGTATCTGGAGCGGTTGGGGAGGCCGGTGGGCATGCCGGAGGTGTTGGTTTGTGTGTATGCGTCGGTCGGGTGCGAGGAGTCGGATGAGGAGGAGGAGTCGCCGGTGCGGGCTGTGCAGCGGGTGGTGCAGGGGGGGTATCACAGGGAGGGGTTGCAGCCTACGCCTATTGCTGGGCGGGGGCGGGGGTGGGTGAAGGGGGAGGTGGTGAAGGTTTCGGGGTGGTGGGAATAGGATTAGCGTTTGTTTGGGGTGGATTGGGGGTAGTGTATGGGTTTATGGGTGCATGTTGAGTGTGTTAAGTATGGGTATTGGTATCGGATGATAGAGCTTGTCTAGATCATACTCGGACTGGAGTATTATACACAACATATGTGACAGCGGTGGCCCCAACTCGGCTGATCAACCCATCCTCAAGCGAACTTACACTCCTCCCCCACCACACTGACCGTCGTCGTCACCGTCTCCACCACCACAGCACCCCCCTCCCCACTCGGCGCAGCCGTCACCACCGCCGTCGTCAGCCCGGTCGACACCTCCACCACCGCCGCCGTGGGCGTGGGCACAGTCCCGAGGGTCACAGGGTGGGCGTAGTCTGAACACCAACCAATAGTCTTAGGCACGATTCCAGGTTTCACGGTTTTGGAGGTCACGACGGGGACAACAGCAACGGGGATGGCGGGGGTAGCAGCGGGAAGGATAGAAGAAGCAGAGTGATCATGGTGATGGTGGTGGTCATAATGATCGGTGTGGTGGTGAGGGTGCAAGACAGAGCTGGAACCGGTGGGGCTCACCGTGACATAAACGGTCTGCGTGGCCGGGGCCGGGCAGGTGGGGGCGGCCACCGGGGTGCGCGAGGGCGACGGCAGCCCCGGGAGAGACGAAGGACTGGTCACGTCGGAGCAAGGCTGCACCGGCGGCGCGACGGTGAACTTCTCGCTCTGCGCGTAGATGATGTACACGTTGGTGCCGTTGATGCCGCTGATCTGGTAGCCCCACTCCGGGTCGGTGTCGCAGGGGATCTGCACGCGGTGCGTCAGGTCGGCGGTCGGGATGTCCAGCGCCAGGGGCACGTAGGTCGGCGGCCACGAGACGAAGTTCCACAGGTAGAGGCTGAAGTAGCTGGGGTCGGTGTCGACGCTCGTCCAGTTGACGCTGATGGTGGAGCCGGCCGGGTAGGTGGCATTGAGACCCGGCTTGGTGATGCTGATCGCCGAGGCAAGCGATGTCAGCGACACCAGCAGTGTGGGGTTGGATAGATGCATGGTGTTGCGGTGGACTGCAGGTTCGGTGCGGAGTGCGTTTCGAGTGGGTTGTAGAAAGGGGTATATACAAAGAATGCTCGAGATGACAACAAGAGCTGTAGTCAGGAAAGATAGAATCGGAGGTAAGCGAGTGACTGGATTCCGAAAAGAATGACTGGTAGTTGGAATGACTGGTGGGCGAAATAGAAGCAAGGGGTTCGGAGGGGGGGGATTATAAGGTGAGGTTTGTCGCATCCCCGGAGATTAACGGTCAGCCTCGTGAACCCAGCATTCCCCGCGCTAGTGCAAATAGTGCGTGCCGTAGACCATTTTGGGGTGTTTTCATTGCGGGGCGCCGTCTTGATTTGTGCTGTTTGAGGTCGGTTGGGACCGTGCACGAGGAATGTCTTGGCCATGTCTTGGTTGCACCGGTTGACACCCCTTGATTGGGTTGACATTGCACCGGTTCCTGGGAACCCAATTTAACTACTCGTGGCAATCTTACCTCCTCACCCGATGTAGTGCTGCTAATCATAAGTAACAGTCTCTTTAATTAAGAACAGGTGAGATCCAGGGACGGAGTGGATAAATGAAAGAAGGTCCCATAAGGCGAGTACCTAGTGATTCGCACTTGGCAATCTAGCCATCCCAGCGATTGATCGAATTCAGGCATCACACGTGAACAGGACACAGTATATATGTCCGGTCTTACTGTCCTTCAGATTAGCCGGAGATTACCTCGGCTCAGACTCAGCTAACTCAGACTCAGCTAACTCAGACTCAGCTAACTAATCTTAGTCGAGTCGCTATCTCCATTCGATGTTAATGTCAGTGAAATGTATATGAATCCTAAGCAACAGTGCTGTGATCCGAGGCTGGAACCAGACCGTATGGAAAATGTGCTTCTAGACATATCTACCACGCCGATCGGCCTTACAATGCAAAGTCTAATCGACCCGAATAGCTCGTCGTCTAATAAACTCGAAAATACGTCCGAGTTGAACCTCATTCAATGCCGGCCAGATGCAGAGTAGCACCACTCCCAAATCCAGAGTGATATGCTCCATTTTGTTCAACCATTTTGTTCAACCATTTCCCCGTGAGCATTACTCATCTGCTGTCCCTTTCTCTTCGTCCCGGAGAACGAAGAGCTCAAAGTTGTCGATGGTACTGCGAAGAGAGCGTCCATTGGGATTCCCTTTTGTGTTGCAAAAGGAGGACCACGATGCGGGGGGCAATATGAACCACGGATTTAGGCTAAAGGCTTACCAAGAAAATGCCACATGCAATTTTTATTATCTACTGGTAGCTAGCTACTCTAGCTCTCCTCGGAAACCATTAACGTTCTCGCATTTTGAGTGTCGATGTGAGGTCCCCGTGGCCTGTACAGGTTGGGATGAGCATTCATTGAAATTGGAGACACGGTGTTGTTTGTCTCTTTAGCTGGATACCAAGGATTGACATTGCTAGTTTGGAAAACTTGCTTCTGATGACAATCGGCCGATACACACTGCAAGTATTGAAATGCTTTGCTCGACTAATCTTCTTGACAAGCCATCGACATGTCTCTCGATGGGTTCATTTTTCTTCGTCGAATGCGGTTCCTCCGCATTTTCCAGATGATCTCTGATAGAGTATCGTAGCTCAAGGAATCCCTATATCAGCAGTATTCGAGAATTCAGCAGTGTACTTATGAGATCCTAGCTTTTATGATGCAGTGCATATGAGTCGAGACACACCATCTTCTGGCAAAAGGCTTGAAGATATAAGTAAGTCAATTCTAGATCCTCAACTTTTGCTTGCCATCGGTGAGTTGCTTGTAAATGGTGAGGGGGAAACATTGGCAATTGACCGGTCGGTATGGCACTTGATCTCCAGGTTGATTGTGTCAGGATAGAAGCAGTATCCTCATCCCGTGTGATTGCAGGAAGAAAGGTAGATATGTCAGAAATTGTCCTGTCTTTTGTCCTGTTTATTTGGATTTGTACGCGATTTGAGGCCTCAGGAGCGGGCTAGTTCTTAAATTCTTGGTGGTTGATTGTTGAACTGTCTAATCTCTCCAAGGTGGGCAACGCGCTTGGTGAATCGCCTCGGATCATGTGGGCTGGATTACTTGGGAACGCCAACAGAATTATGCTAAGCTTTTTACTAACAAACACTTCCAAAATCCTCTTGAGTATATTACTTGAAGTTCATTTTCTTGCTTCCTGTTGACATGGGTTCTCAGGATGTCCTTTACTGAGGTATCATGAATTGGGGTTTTTGATCTAAGAACTTTTGGAGGACTTCTCAGATTGACTTCAGTAAACTTTCACTTCTACATACAAATTCAGTGCAAAAGTGAGGTGAAAGTGAGGGGAAACTAAAAGAACCAAGAAATCAGAAGAATCAAAGATAAGATGAATAGGGTGTCAACAATGTGGGCAGATTGGCCCGTTTGCGGCCTCAGGCCAGGTGGCAGCCTCAGGCTGCAAACTGGCATATCTGCAGTGGCAGGCAGGCTTTGAAGTGGCGGCCAAGCAGGCCCTGAGGTGCGGCCTGGTTAAGGTGGCGAACTTGCGAGCCTGAGGCTGCCACCTGGCCTGAGGCCGGGGCCCATCTGCCCACATTGTTGGCATGATCTTCTACCATGCCGTTGCTTTGAAGATATAGACACGGTTGGAAAGAGACATTACTGACCGTCTGCGGCTGCTAACCTTCCGTACACACTTTCAACAATCACCAAATAGGATTTTGAGCTTCATGATAAGATTGTTCTGATTCATCAAACCCAGTCTAATTTTCATGTTGTCAAGGCACCCTGTAGAAAGGTACTATATATTTAGCAACCATAGTCCCTACAAGGGCCTGTAATCCCGCCTTTCTACACACCTTTTCAGGCACTTGTGAGAGCGCTTGTATGGGTAACTATATGTAGAATATACTTTCAGTAGGTATCTGTGCATTGATCCAGTCCTACAGTCTGGACCTGCCCCTGGTGGCCCTCTTACCACTCCGTCCCCGGTTGAAAAATGTATGTCATGTGACTGATATGAGAAGCGCCAATCAGGACAACAGATGATCTCGGCCAATTAGCAGCCATCGCGGATGGGCTCAGCGTTTCTTAGCTCACCGCTCCCGGCCCGGGGCAGAATTCCCGACCATGCCGAGATCTCTTGGAGACAAACCTAACGTTTTGACTCCCCACCCCGACATGACCCTGCTAAAGAATTCTAGAAAGCTTCCATTCTGCCGTTCAAGTAGCTTAGAGCTCTTGGCTCTTTGTAGGGCAGATGCCCCTCGTTTGGACGCGGCATTGATTGACAGTAGCGGCGTAGCTACTCACAACGTTGAGTTTTTTCGACATGCCTGGTGGATGAATAGCTTTGTAATGAATTTTTTGTTGACTTTCATTAGCAATCTGCAGCATCACATTGTTGAACTTTGGTGAAAACAAGTACTATTTTCCTATGCAATTCAACGGCGTGTTGGCCGTCGATGAAGCCGAACCCGGGCCGTCCTCACGAGAAGCAGACTCGGCCCGGCCGTTCTCTCTCTCATGCTACATGGTCTGGCACACGGGATGATCCCACCTTAGTAGCTTGTATTGCTAGACCCGAATTCAGCAAGAAAGTGACCAGTTTCCAGGGTAATACGAGTCAAGGGCAGACACACCTGGATCTCGGCGAGAGTCCGCGGCGTGTACGGAAGAGCGAACAGCCGTCCGGTTATCTGATTGTCCGCCGACAAAATCGTTGTCAGATGCGGCGCATTTAGCCTACAACCGCCCGGCGCCATCCGAGAGGGACCCTATAGTCTCTTGAGAAAGGAGGAAGCTGATTGGAATTTGGACATCCACTTTATCTTCTCGTATACGGAAGGGCATTTAGTCTACCTCGTATACTCTACAGCCCGCCTGGACCCTCCTGGACTCAAGCTTCTCACGGAATGCTTGGTGGATGCAGAGCGATCAGGAAGAGGGCTAACGTAGATTAATACGAGCTAGCCATGAAGCAAAGCTTTCAGGAGTTGCAGATTATGGTTAGCAAGGCGCGCGTCTCGGAGGGAATTACGTTGACCAATCTTCTGCCTCAATTGTGTAGGCTGGATTCAGCCATGTTGTGCGCCTGTGTTGGCACAATTCCGACCCACCGACGACCCTCCAGGGACTTTAGCTCCTGATAGCCGTTGCGAGAACGTTATCCTCTCAAGTACTGAGTAAGTTCTGAGTAAGTGATTATGAAATTCTGATAAAGCGACCCCACCGTAGCCCATCCAGGATTTGAACCCACGAGGTGGGACCCTATGTTGGATCCCCATTCGCCCGGCAGCCCGGGAGGCACCGGTCACTCTCGGTCATCCTTAGCTGACTTTCAACAATGACCGCATCAACCCGGTAGGGGGAAATGAATTTTCTTCTAGAAAAAAAAGTATATAAACCCCGGGATCTGTCAGAGATGCATTTCCACCAGTCACCGGTCATCGATCAAGATCCTCCGCCATGCACGCCCTCTGGACTGCGACCACCCTGCTCGCGTCAGCCGGAGCCCTGCTGGGCGCCCAGGCGCGTCCGACTGACGGCAAGAACCACACCGTCCAGTCGGGATACGATTACATTGTTGTTGGAGGCGGTCCGTCCGGCATCATCACTGCGGAGCGTCTGGCCGAAGCCAACAAGAGTGTGCTGCTGTTGGAGCGCAGCACGGCCGGCCCGACGGTCGGAACCGGCTCCAACTACACCCTGTCGTGGAACGATACCCTAACCGCCATCGACGTGCCGGGTCTGTCCTTTGATGTCGGCAACTTCCCGCAGTGGTCCGAGTACATCTGTACCGACACCGATGGCACGGCGGCCTGTATCCTGGGCGGCGGAGTGACGGTGAACTACATGGTCTTCGTGCACCCCCCGGACCACGACTTCAACGACAAATGGCCGGTTGGCTGGAAGTGGGCGAACGTGACTGCCGGTGCCGATCGCCTGTATGCGCGCAACCCGGGCAGCAGCGTGCCCTCGGCCGATGGCAAGCTGTACGACCAGACCCTCTTCACCACCCTGTCGACCTTCTTCAACAACCTCAACTGGACCGCCACCGACATGAGCGCCCAGCGCAACGAGAAGTTCCAGACCTACAGCCACCCCGTGTGGAACATCAAGGACTACAAGCGTGCCGGCCCCGTGCGCACCTACCTCCCGCTCGCGCTGCAGTACCCCAACTTCTCCCTCCGCATGGGCGCCCTTGCCACCCGGGTCATCCGTAACGGCAGTCTGGTCACCGGCGTCGAGATCGTGAACGTGGCCACCAACACGACCGAAGCCATCCCGCTTGCCCCCGGCGGCCGCGTGGTCCTCTCCTCCGGCGCGCTGCACTCGCCGCGCATCCTGTTCAACTCCGGCATCGGCCCGCGGGCGCAGATCGAAACCGCCCAGAAGAGCGGGATCAGCGTGCCGCCCACCAAGGAGTGGATCCACCTGCCCGTCGGCGAGAGCCTGATGGACCACCCGATCTTCTCGATCGTGATCCAGACGGACAAGGACTTCAACGAGCTCGACGCGGCCGCGATCCTCAACGGCACCGCGACCAGCGAGATCACCGCGTACGAGGAGGAGAACGACGGGGTGCTCACGCAGGGCAAGCACCGGCTGATCTTCTTCAGCTCCAACGTCGCCAGCGACGGCCACACGCGGTACTACCAGGGCTCGTGCACGCCGACGGCGGAGGGCGAGGTGACCATCACGACCTACATGACGCACGGGCTGACCTCGAAGGGCGTCCTGGGGCTGGATGCGGACCAGCGCACCGTCATCGAGAAGTCGCCCTACCTGCAGACGGCCGGCGACCGCGAGGCGGCCACCCTGTTCATCCAGTCCATGGTCGATGCGATCAACGCCCCCGGCTCGGGCTTCCAGTTGGTCGAGTACACCAACACCTCCGCCATCCTCGGCTCGCTCACCGCCGGTATCCACTACGCCGGCACCACCAAGATGGGCACCGATGACGGCCGCTTCAACGGTACGGCGGTCGTGGATACCAACACCAAGGTGTACGGTACGGACAACCTGGTATGTTTGCCTCCTTGGTTGCCCCAATTCCCATATGGAGTACTAACGCAATTTCACAGTACATCGTGGACGGTGGCATCCACCCCGATCTTGCTTCTGGCAACAACCAGGCGACCATCATGGTTGTCGCGGAGAACGCCGTGGAGCGTATTTTGGCGCATTAGAGGGGTATATCCTACCGAGGGACGGAGGGTAATTAGACTAATGCTCTGTATTTTATCCTGTATTCTATCTGGGAAGTAACGACCTTAGGCAGACTTTATGATCAGTTCAGTCTGCAGTAATAGCTACCTACTTATATACTCAGCTGAACAAGTAACTCACTTTCTTCTACACGACGAGCACTGCAGCCAATGTGTTGTTTAGACTCTCAATAACATCAATTATTATGTGCTAAGCCCTCGTGAAGGGTGAATACCAATCGATGCTTAACAAATCATGAACACATTGATCTCTGGACCCAGCTAGCAGCCCACGAGCCTGGATCTTGACAGTTCGCCGTCTTTGAACAATGCGCCTTCAACTGCTATTATTGCAGCTCAAAGGCTGACGTACCAACTGGCAGTAATACTCCAAAGGGTTGTACTGTACAGTCGGCATTGCTGCAGGATGCAAACGGGATGTCGAGGACCGTACACACGTGGCAAGAGGATTGATTTTATTCGAAAGATGCCAAGCCCCATGTCAAATTACACCGTGAGACCGTTATACGTCGGCTATGGCTCTCCCAGCCCCCCTGTAGTTCTTCGCGATAGGCCTGTGCTTGAAACGCAACTAAATTCCTCGTTCAAACTCCACTAGGATTTGCACTCGAATTCTGCATCCACACATAATATCCACAGTGATGTACACAGTACAACAATTTCCCCCACATACCAGTGCTCAACGTGGCTAGTCCCACGGTGGAGACAGCGCGAAGCGAAGAGGCGAGCATCATTGGAGGGCTAACCGCCGGCCTTGGTTCATAAGCCTCAAAGCTCACCTGCGATCATTATATCAAGAATCTTTTGACCCCGAAAACAACCTTTCTTGATTATAATATACCGAAGACCAGTAAAAAGCAATCCCGGAGCAAGCATCCAAGTCTCACACAAAAGCACGCACCCCTTGACCAGAAAGGTCGCATTGAACAAATGGACGACCGTCCCCCACCGCACCCCGAACCAAGTGCCTCCGACTCCGACTCCGACTCCTCCTCGGAAAACCCCCTTGCGAGCATATCCCCCTCAGAAATCAGAGTCGCAATCTTCTGCGCCCTGCCCATCGAATCCGTCGCCGTGCGGTACACCCTCGACGAAGAATATCAGTGCCGACCGCCACGACACCACCCCCAAAGCAAATACGTCTTCACTTACGGGCGCATCGGCGAGCATAAGGTGGTGCTCGCCCGGCCGCACCAGATCGGCCCCGTCAAGGCGGCCCTCTGCGCCGCGGCGGTCAGCGGGCTGTTCCCGACCGTGCGATTCGCGCTGATGGTGGGCATCGGAGCGGGGATTCCCGGCAAGCGGGATATCCGGCTGGGGGATCTTGCTGTTGGGGTGCCGAGGGAGAATCATCCGGGGGTGGTGGAGTATGATCTGGGGAAGTATGAGAAGGATGGGTTTGTGTTGAAGGGGGCGTTGAATAAGCCGCATCCGGTTCTGGTGAGTGCGGACGGGGCGTTGGAGGAGGAGGAGATCATGGGGCGGAGGCCGCTGCGGAGGGTCCTGAGGGAGCTGATGCGAAGGCCCGGGTATGGACGGCCGGATTTGGCAGATGTGCTTTATGATCCGGGGTTTCATCATGTCAACAAGGGGGAGGACTGTCGGGCCTGTGATGTGGCTGACGATAGTAAGGTTGTTGCTCGTCCGGTGCGCGCGGGTAAGCGGGGGTATCCGGTTGTTCATCGGGGGTTGATTCTCTCCGGACGTGGAGTGATCAAGAATCCTGAGGATCTGGATCGTCTCCGTCGCGGTCAGGATGATGCCATCTGTTTTGAAATGGAGGCAGCCGGCATTGTGGACGAGATCCCCTGCCTCGTGATCCGCGGGATCTGTGACTACGCGGATACACACAAGCAGGACGGGTGGCATCGGTACGCTGCAGCGGTGGCGGCGGCGTACTGCAAGGCGGTACTGTGCAAGATTGATGGCCCTGAGGAGCTCGAAGATCCCGTGAAGCAAAGGACTGGCGACGCGTTCGGGGAGTGTGATTTCGCAATGTCGCACGACCATCCTCAGTCGAGCAATCTGCCGTGGTCGGATGCCGCTGCTGCCGTACCACGTCGCTTGCTCCCAACTTCGGAGATGTCCACAAGCACGGTTTGTCAGGATACCACGAGGTCGCGTGGACTGGCGCATTGGTTTGATAACTGACGCAGTTATACTCCAGAGACTTGAGGCTGGATGCAGATTGGTGCCGGAGGCCGCATTTGGAGTGAGGGACCAGGGACCAGGACTCTTTTCTTGCTTGTGTGTATACTGTACGTAGGCACTAGTGGACAAGGGCGGAGATTACTCGGGCTTGGTCCCTTCGTCACCGAGAGTATACTCTACCCGGAAGCATGATTGCATTTAATGTACTTGCTTGTTCCTTACTGCGATATTTGAATGCGTCTGTGGTGTGGTTTATTCTCACATGCCAGGAGCGGAGAGAGGGGGGTCGAGATAGTACGTTGAGGAAGCGGTGAAAGGTGAGGGAATCATGAGCTATGAGCGAGAGTATGGGAAAGTCAGTTTCTCCATGTGGAGTGGCTGGACCCCCTCAGGGCTTGAGGAGCCATACACTTGTGTCTGGATAGGTGTGTTTGGATGTTAGGTGGCCGCTGTGTGCAGATAGTGACTCAGCGATCCAACATATCGTCAAAGGCGCCAAGAGCGGAATGCTGACAGCTCCGCCCTCGCGCACGACTCCTTTAGCTTTGAGTTAGTGTACAATACCCTATCCAGTCATGTATTCAGACAAGCGAATCGATGATTAAGCCAAGGGAGGCAGTGCCATGCCGAGAGGATGGAAGTCTGGGTGAGCCGGTGACCCGGCTCTTGTTGCCGCTGCCATGCATCTCGGCATGATACTGTCAATAACCTCTCAGGCATCTCCCTTCACACAGCCTCGTTCGAACATGGGATTTCATGAGGGTTGGTTTATCATGTATAGCATCCACTTTCATACGCATTGCCAGCAATTCAAACCTCTTACTCCCCACGCCATTCTACTCCCCAACATTCCTCCTTAACGCAGAGATCAACTTAGGGTTCCCCCCCACCGCCGATCCGGACCCCGAACCACGGCTCGAGTCCGGGGTACAACAGCACAGCCCCCAAGCCGTCCACATGGTATGACGAAAGCGACAGCAGTATAGTCTGCATAAATGCATCACCATGAATCAGTCACGTATCTAGCACCACCACGATCCATCATCCATGAAACAAGATGGCTCCGAACATAGACAGCAAACCCACCGAAACACCGCTCCCAACCACCCACCGCTTGCCCTCCCCCTCGCCCTCCTCCTCTGACCCCTCCTCCTCCCACCCCTTCGCCTTCACCGCAACCCAACTAACCACTCTCTTCAACCCGAAATCCTTGGAGACATTCCTCGATCTAGGCGGCCTGCTGGGCCTGGAACACGGCCTCCGCACCAACCTAACCACCGGCCTGACCACCACCGAATCCCTCCTCACCGGAACCATCACCCTCACGCAAGCCCGTCACCACGCCATCTCCAAAACCACAAGCACGCAGCCCCTCCTCTCCCAGCCCGCCACGGGAGATCATCAAGCCCCCATCATCCCCCAGGACCAATTCCACTCCCGCCACAAAGTCTACGGCCGGAATGTCCTCCCCGAACCACCCCGCAAATCCTTCGGCCGGCTCCTCTGGGACGCGTACAACGACAAGATCATCCTCCTGCTAACAGTGGCAGCCGTCGTGTCGCTGTCGCTGGGCATCTACGAGGCCGTCAGCGGGCAGTCGCGCGTGGACTGGATCGAGGGGGTGGCGGTGTGCGTGGCGATCGGGATCGTGGTGACGGCGACGGCGGGGAATGATTGGCAGAAGGAGCGGCAGTTTCGGAGATTGAGTCGGTTGGTCAGTATCCTAGCCTATCCCTTTCTTACCTTTGGGTTATGGAGGATTGGGGTGCTAGGGCTTATGGGTTGGGGTATTTGCTAGGGCTAATGGGTTAGGAGTGTCTGTGAGTGCTGTTGAGTTGTGCTGACGTTTACGTTTACTCGCCCGTGGCAGAAAGTCGACCGCGAGGTGCGGGTTATCCGCTCCGGCCAGCAGATCATGGTTCACATCCACGACCTCACCGTCGGGGATCTCGTGCACCTCGAGCCGGGGGACTGTGCCCCGGCTGACGGGGTGGTCGTTACCAACTACGGGCTGCGCTGCGATGAGTCCCTGGCGACTGGGGAGGCGGATCAGATTGAGAAGGTGAGTGGGGCGGAGGCGTGGGAGCGGGTGGTGGCCGGAAGGCAGAAAGCGGATGAGGGCGTGCTGCAGGAGAAGGAAATTCCGAAACTGGAGGAGGAGAACCTCGACCCGTTTATTATCTCAGGCAGCAAGATCCTGGAAGGGCTGGGGACGTACCTGGTCCTCAGCGTGGGTCCGCACTCCACCCACGGGCGGATCATGATGTCTCTCGGCACGGAGAGTGATCCGACCCCGTTGCAGGTGAAGTTGAGCCGGTTGGCGAGTTGGATTGGGTGGTTTGGGCTGGGGTATGTTTTCCCCTGTATTTCCGTTGTCTTTGAGGTTATGTATAAGGGGTAGGGATGCTTATGTGGGTTGGGTAGGGCTGCGCTACTTCTCTTCTTCGTCCTCCTCTTCCGCTTCCTGGCGCAGCTGCCGGATAACCCGGCGCCGTCGACAGTCAAGGGGCAGATCTTCATGGATATCCTGATCGTCACGGTGACGGTCATTGTGGTGGCTATACCTGGTATGTTTCTGCCCTTCCCTGTTTAAAGATGATGCGGACCGTGTTGACGTGCGCAGAGGGCCTCCCCCTCGCGGTCACCCTAGCCCTAGCCTTCGCGACAGGTCGGATGCTGAAGGAACATAACCTCGTGCGACAGCTGCGCGCCTGCGAGACGATGGGCAATGCGACCGTCATCTGCTCGGATAAGACGGGCACCCTGACGCAGAACAAGATGACGGCGGTGGTCGGGTTCTTCGGGGTGTCCGAGTCCTTTGGCCACCTGCCCACCCACACATCCCCGGCTGCTTGTCCTGTGCAGGTTCCGCAAGCTGTTGCCAGGTTTCCTGCCTCGTTCCGAGACCTGCTGGTGAAAAGCATCGTCGCCAACTCTACTGCCTTCGAGGAACGAAGGGAGAACGGGACCGAGCTGGTCGGCAACAAGACGGAGATCGCGCTGCTGCAGTTGGCGCAGGAGCATCTGGACGTGTCTGATCTTGCTACCGAGCGCGCTGGGGTAGATGTGCTACAGGTATACCCGTTTGATTCGGCGCGGAAGGCGATGGCGTTGGTGTATCGCGTGCGCCCGGATACGTATCGGGTGCTGGTCAAAGGGGCGGCGGAGGTGGTCTTGCGCGCGTGCAGAACAGTTGTCCTTGCTGATGGTTGCGTGGTGGATGAGGTGTCAGTTGGCCCGTTCGCTGACAGCGACGTGGATGTGATTGAGCAAAGCATCAATACCTATGCCTCGGCCGCTCTGCGCACTATCGGACTGGCGTATCGCGACCTCCCGGCTGGGGTTGCCGGGGGCAGTAAAGGCGGCGAGAAGGGTCTTCCCCGCTTCGAGGAGATATTCACCGACATGACCTGGATTGGGTTGTTTGGGATTCACGACCCCTTGAGGCCGGAAGTGACGGAGGCGATTCGACAGTGTCATTCGGCCGGGGTGAAGGTGAAGATGGTCACCGGTGAGGTTGTTTCTTTCTGGGCAGTAACTCGCATGACTGACGTGTAGGCGATAACATCAACACCGCATTATCTATCGCCGCCGCATGCGGCATCAAGACCGACGATGGCATCGCCATAGAAGCGCCAGAGCTCCGAAAGCTAAGCGACGAGGAACTCGACGCGATTCTCCCGCGTCTCCAGGTCCTGGCCCGCTCCTCCCCAAGTGACAAGCAACTCTTGGTGCAACACCTGAAGAAGCTCGGCGAGATCGTCGCCGTAACCGGGGACGGGACGAACGACGGACCAGCCCTCAAGTCAGCAGATGTGGGCTTCTCGATGGGCCTGAGCGGGACGGAAGTGGCACGCGAAGCCAGTTCGATCATCCTTCTCGACGACAACTTCCGATCAATCGTCACAGCCATAGCATGGGGACGTTGCGTCAACGACGCGGTGGCCAAGTTCCTGCAGGTGTGCATCTGCCTGACATTCCTTCTCAGAAGACCAATGGTTGATTGACGTACTGTAGTTCCAAATCACCGTCAACATCACCGCGGTCTGCCTGACAGTGGTCACAGCCATCTACAACAGCTCCAACGAAAGCGTCTTCAAAGCCGTGCAACTTCTCTGGCTGAACCTGATCATGGACACCTTCGCTGCGCTTGCACTGTAACC